TTCTAATTAATAATTCCAATTAATGATTATTTTTATTTAGAATTATCTTAATAAATATCTATGCTAAATAACAAAATCTTTAATCTTTGAAATCTTTCAAATTTGTAAAACGAAAAATCTATAAATTTGTAAAACGCGTGACAAAGTTTGAAAATTTTGCAACTGTGTTCCAACATAAATTCTACTGCTATGCGAATTCTTGATGAAAGGAAACGGAATGAATAACCAGCTATTTTTCATTCAAAAGAATAATATTGTCTACTCGACTTCGCGATGGATTCCAATTATTTGCAGTCACCGTTTTTAATGGGTGGAGTTTTCTAACATTAACAAAAATTCGAAGAGACAAGAGTGAAATTAGAACTGATCTCAGAGATACATTGATGACGTATTTTAATCGAGAGGTCAGATTCCATCAAATAACTTTAAAAATTTTAGTTTCCATAAAAGAAAGCAGTATACGCTTACAATTCACTCACGCGCGAATCCTGAGATGTGAATAAAAAGGGGCCAAAAAATAAAAATATCCAAGGACAACGTATTTTGTTTGAACGTTGTACGAGACTTTAAAAGAATTCCTACAGAGAGAGAGAGAGAGAGAGAGAGAGAGAGAGAGAGAGAGAGAGAGAGGAGGGGGGTGAAATATTCACGCTCTCTTAAGAGATGAGTCTCGGGGGATAGAAGATTTTTCCTAAGCGGACTATTTCAACGCCTTATGATATCAAGTAAAAATAACGCCATGCCTTTGAGGATTCATTAAGAAAATCCTGATTTAGTATAATAGAGGTGCTAAGATGAAAGAGAATACAGCTTCAAAATTAATGCTTTCATTTAATGTACATATTTTAATAAGTATACTTCCTAAGTGTACTTTTTCATATCATTGATAAATACCTATTATATAAATATAAATACATATTAAATAACATAATATAATATTATATTATATTATTTATTATATATATAATATAATATATTATATTATTTATTATATTGTATTATTATATTATATTATATTATATTATATATAATAATATAATATAACATTATATTATATTATTTAATATGTATTTATCAACGATATGAAAAAGTACACCTAGAAAGTACACTTACTTAAATATGTGTTTTATATAATATTATATTATGCTTTCTGCAATATTTAATGCTTGTTAAAAAGAAAATGTATAATCTACCTATATTGAGTATTTAATTAATTATATTAATTTCTCATATTGTATTCAATACTCTGATTAATTATAAAGCATATTAACTTAATAGCTTGTATTTAAAAAAAATTTTTTTTATTCTACAGTTTTGCAAAATTATAAATTGTTTATAAGATTATCTAACATAATATATATAATTAATCGAATTAAGTTTTGACTATTTTATTTTCTTCCATAATATAGCACTGATAAAATACAGAAATATTTGTGCAATCTCTTTTATTTTAAATATACCATTCAGTTTGTTGTTAAGACTTTTATCGCTTCAGTTTCAGCTTTCTTATCGCCACGTAGTTGATCTCAAGAAAACGACAAAGGACTAGCATAATTTTGCAATAAGCAACGAAGAGAAGTCATTAAATAACAATTAAATAAGTAATGAGTCCATAATCGAGTACAATCTTGGAAATATCGTGAGACACGTAAAGTTTAATTACCGCACGATTTCTAACGTAAATTTATTTTGACGACAAAGAAAAAAGAAGACATGACAAGAACAGCTAAGTTCTTTATCATCTATTAGATAAAAGGCTCTGGCAATTCAGATAATTTTTTCAAACGCGAAGAAAACTGAAAAAGTAAACAACAATTAATACAACCTGCAGTTATATAGATACGATAACGAAAGAAATATTAATAGAGTATAGATTATTTTAATTTTTCTAGAAATAAATAGGAAAACAAAAAATATAAAGCTTAACAATAAATAAATAGAGGTTCAGACAAATGTAATAATAGAAAATTAGGAAAATTGCTTGCGTTTTCTTCCTTAATTGAAGGATCGTAATTTATAAAACGGGTCTTTGAAAGTTGAGTGCTGAAGGTCCGATGGAAGTCGACGCTGATCAAATTACAATTCACAGCGTGGCGAACATGCTCTCGACGTTAGAATGACGATGAGAAGAATGTCGTCGGTGCGCTTTCGGTTTCCATTACGAGGATGCCCACGGCTTGTTGTGTTCCTCCGCAGCATTTTTTTTTCCTCTTCGAACAACTCTTTTCACGCCCGTTTACCCGGTCCCTTGTAAAAAAGCCACGTTGACGGCATTATTGTCCCCGCCGACATATTGTCTCTTCCCGGCGACATACCTTTGCGCCCTCGATTTAGCCACCCGCACCCGCCACTTTACCATGACCTTATATTTCTGACAGTAAGAGAAATTTTACCCAAAAATAAAGATATTTGCAAAGATTGCAAGTAACACAAATTTTATGTAAAACAAACAGAATATTAATCACACGGCAATCTATATTAATCGAAATTGGAGAGATGAATAATTATACGTGTATCAATTACGTTATAAGATATATATACCCCGCTCCAATTGAGAGATTGATAGTTGTCAGACCGCGTCAAGATGTCAATTAGAATTATCGGATATTGGAAACGAAAGGAAAACGGTGAAATATGAGATTATCACTTAATACCGAACAGACTATGCTTTAATATACGTATATTCACTGTTTAGAAATTTAGTTGAAAAGTTATTTATAAAAATTATAACTGTTTATTTAATAGTTACTAAAAAAAATAGTTACTAAAAAAGCAATATAAATAGAGAGAGAGAGATTACAAATTTATTTATATAATTAAAAAATACAAAACTGAAACATTTTTTTAAATTTCATTTTAAGCTAAATAATATTATTATTATGAATAAAGGAGTTTTAATATATTGCATAAATATAAAATTTTGAGAAATCGCACGTGGTTGTTTTCAATTAATCGGAATCAATTAGTCGGAATTGGGTAGATCATATTTATCGATGCATACGTTTGCTTTTCGATTGAGATTATACGCACGTGTGACTTCTGAGAGAAATATTTGCCGTAGAACCGACAGTAGTAATCGAATTACTACGCTTCGCTCGCATGTGCGAGTTACGTAATTCTGTCTCGGATGTAATAATTACAGAAATGGAAATAAAATTGCACACTTTTTCACATCGTAATTAAGCCGCAAAGCGAGTCATCTAAATGCACCGCGGAATCACTTACTTAATTAAAAATTAAATTAACGAGAGAATCGATCCATAATGTCGTCGCTTTTGGATCATAAAGACATCATTAAAATGTAAAATACTAAAGTCACTTGAGTTATTAATACGTCAATTCACGAATTATGCAAGCCGTAAAAGGGAAGCATCAATGCCGTGCATTATGTAAATGTCGCACAGTTCACGTTCTGAGCTGTTCTTTATGCACGAAGCGTTTTTCATTGCTGGCTTTCTCGCATGCTATCTTACAGATGGCAATAAAGATTTCGCAACAATTTTTCATTCGATATATTTCTACAACGCGCAACGAACTTTCTTTAGTACGGTTGAATTAAGTTAAATTTTTTTAGTGTGAAAAAATTAAGAACGAAGTCTATAAAATTTTTTATGAAGAAAATATAAAAATTGTCAAAGTAAAATTTGTAATGTGTTGAAACGTTTCTACTTCCAACGATTGTATTATATAAATTTGTTTCAAGTTTAACAAATTTGTTGCCTGCAGAAATCTTGTTTGCTCTCTGCTCTACATCTCGCATGACAGCGTGCGAGGAAGTCAACAGCAAAGCACACTCCGTGTGTGCCGCGAGTTTAATTCGAGCGACTGTTGCGCAGAATGTTCCTGCGATACCTATCAAGGCAACCCAAGATCCCTATCATCTTGGAACAATTATGGGTTTGCGCCATCACGTTGCTTAACAACCTCTCTCCGTTAGTGTCGTGTTTTCGTGGCTGCTCGACCATCCTGATTCCAATAATCGAGCTCGCGTTAACGAGAAAAAGCTATTTCTCGGTACAGGCGAGAGACATGACTTGCAAGCAGTGAAAATAACATAAAATAAAATAAAAAATTATTACACTATTTTTCTACCTAACGTTTGACTGAAATATTATATCGATGTGTTAATACTTATAAAATTATCGCTGATATATGTATACAAATTCATAAAAGATAAAATATTAAAAAATATAAATATTATTTATACGACAAACAGACAATCACAAAAAAAATGATTGTATAGAACATCGAATTTGGTATTCAAAAACTTACTTGCTGGCTTATTTTATACTCGACATGCACATTTCATGTTAAAATTCCAACGCAAAGAGAGGGAGAGGGGGGGGAGAGTGAGAGAGAGAGAGCATCGATAGCGATCGATAGTTTCGCGAGATTGCGAAACTGGGTGTACACGCGACGGTGAAAAAATCGCCGGGCTAATAAGCTAGGGCACGAAGTACGGAAATACGAATTTATTTACGAATGCAAATCGCGCAGTGTGCATTAATATTGTGAAATTTTTGTTTCTGTATTCTCTTAATTTGTTTATACTGAAGTGTTCAAAGACACAACATACGTGAATACAATTGCCATAAATATCTGAATCTGCTTAGAAACAAGTTTTAACGTTTTTAATCAATTTCAGCGAGTGTGCGAATGCATGCGTTTGCTTTATTAACATCTACTAATATTTGTTGTAATTAACATAAAGTTTATAGTCTGATTTATCTACCATTAAAATATCTGTTCATATACAAACATGCATCGCAATAGGTAATAAATTTATGTAGGAAACACGTTATTAATTACAATATGTACTTTTAAAGTATGTATATAATATTATATTTGTTACACATGATTGAGTATTTATGTATTTATGTATCTATGGATTTTCTACACAATTTCTCCGTTTGTTATAAAAAACACTTATTTATTTTTATACGCAGCACGATACAAAAATAAAATTGACATTGCTTAATTTAATCATCTATTGATTACAGTGTTCAAGAAACAGATGGATCCTTTTTTGAAAGTTTCACCGCGTTATCCTGGAAACAGGAGAATCGGAGACTCGTTGTCCTTCAGGAAGTGGAAGCAAGAGCGAAGGAACCGCCACCGCCGTCCAGAGATTCGAGTTTGACTTCGCAACCGTATCGGCTTAGCAAAAAAGAGGTATTGTTCCATCTTGCAACAATTTTTATTTATTCTCTACATAGTGTATACACAATTTTTTATTTTTTATTATAAAAATTTTGACTGAATTTTTCAATCTGTTTCTCATGTTAAATTCAGTAAACTATGATTTTTTTTATTTGCTCCGCGCTGTATTTATTATTTTATAACAAATTCTGACAAAATTTTTACAGTTTTTGTTAAACGAGTGGCGATGCAAGTTTTTCATTTCACATTTTTCGCGCTACGACCGAATCGCGTGCGACCCAACGCCGTTACATTTAACGCACGTCATCCTGGTTGCAGCGGGCTTTGCATGCGGACGAGTAGTTACGTCCGTTCCGTTTGAAGTATTATTCTAAGTAGATAAAGTCTGTCGAGCCGCGCGGGTCAGACGGGCGCGCTTGTTCGCCGATCGAACAGGTAGAAAACCCGTAATGAGAATACGTCGTCGTCGTTTCGATTCGCCAACTGTAATGCGCAGATGAATAATGCTCGTATTTCCAGCTCGATGTTCCGATTTCAAATCTCCGTAGCTCCGATTTTAAATCCGATCGCCCTGTAATTCCTTTGTCGTTGCTTACTATAGTCATTGCTTACCGCGTAAGCTACGACCTGCAATGAAATTTATATAGAAAATACGTTATCTAAATAACATTTATAGTCGCATATATTTGCAAAGAAATGTACTTGTTAATTTAAATTTAAATTTATGCAGAGACGTAATATTAAATGCAAGACGTAATGTTAAATATGAAAATTTTTTCACTTTAATAAAGACGCTATTTATAAATGCCACATGGGAACTTGTATCTTTGTCGCACTTTAAAAGGAGATATATAAATTCAAATAAATTCTAGATATCATACATATTTGTAAATGTAACGGATCTATGGATCTCTATGTGAATTTATAGATCTATATGTCTCCGGATTTGTGATAGGTTACGGATTCAGCCTTCGTAAACTCATGTATCCTCCTATCTTTCGTGAAATATATACATGTATTTCTCTAGCTGTAGATCTCCCCAGATATCAGCACAATTTTTCGCACTGTCGTCTTGCGAGCTCTCCTAAAATAAATATCCAAGCGGAAAAACACTTTTAAGTAAATAGCGTTTTCACGAGAACCCGTGGGCTTCGTTGTTTCAACGAAGTTCTCATGTCAAGCTCTGCCCATTATTTTACCGCACCCTTCTCTTCCATTCTCCTTGAATACAATATTCCTGCCGCTCCCGACTCTTTTTAATCTTCGACGTAGCGTAAAAATTGCTATGCATGTTTCGAAGGAGATTAATTGGCGAAAAGCCGATGTCGTCGCTTTATTAAATAAGGCAAAACGGAGGAATATTCCGCGCAACATCGAAAAATAACGTGAAATAGAGAGTCTGCCATCAACATCATTGAGCTTTCTTGCAAGAATTATTTATAACTTTTTTTGCTTCTCTAAATATAAATTAATATGAAGAAATGTGAATATATATATTTAAAAAAATATATAAAATGATATTTTTATGAACAAACACGTTTTCCAAAGTTTCTCTATAAATTCATTAAAATTTACTAAAATTTTTTATACTTATTAATTTTGTACCATCTTAATTAAATAATAATTAACAGTATGTGTGTGTGTTTTCGCGCTCGAATTAAATGGCATGATATTAGCTGTTACAAGCGCGACGCCTCTTGGATTTATAATATATCCTACCTTCTGTAAAATGAGTTTGTACTCTTCTTCATATAATGAATATCATATTGCTTTAAATTCCTGCAAGAAGGAGCAAAGAAACACGACCGTTTAGCCAGACAAAGGAAATCTTTAACTTAATCGTCTTGTAACAGAATTTCCCATATATTTCCGGAAGAACTCCTAGCATTTTGATAGTTTAACATTATGTTTGATAATTTCGCTGAATAAATTACTTCTAATAATTGCAATTGTGCAACGAAATAACTTTACTGCAGTAACAATTTTAATAATATGATTATATTCTTTATTACTCAATGTTCCTATTACTAAAGATTGAGAACAATCTTATTTTGATGATTAATTATAATTCAAATCAATACAATATATATTTATGTTGGCATTAATTGTCAAATATTTAATAAAATAATTTGTAATAAAGTATAAAATAGAATATATGTAAAGTATGTAATACAATAATTTTAATAACAATTATTCTGTATTGTAGAAAAATCTGCAAAATTATTGTGGAGAATTTAAAATGTATATAGATTTAAATATATTGCCCTCTTGTCTAACATAAAAATATCAATTACACAAAGCAGCTTATTTTCTAGCTGCTAAATATTATTAAAAAATTGGGACGTATTTTCTAGATGGAGCAATTGTACATAGAAGTTCTTTACACGATTGCAAACACTGTGGGCGCCAGTACAGGACAATACGCGCACTACAAGGAGGATTTGTATCGATATGCCCAGGAAGCCTTCGGAGTCCCACAGGACCAGCATCGACGATATCTCAATATTGCCTCGGAAGAAAAGGTATATCCGCTGATTAGCTTTCCTCTCAAACACTGCGATATCGTTTCGCTCCTCTGCGAAAAATGTGTCATCAAAGTACCGTTACTTGTGCCGCGGTAAAAATTAAATGAAATGATACTTATTTACTGTCGCAGCCACCCATTGTTGTGCTAAGCGTGGTGGTGATCGAAGCCGACGGACTCGAGGCAAAGGACGTCAATGGTAAGTTCAGTCAATTCGGTCGTGTTCCAAGCTGCGATTACCTTTCGAGTTACAAGCGCTGATAAGTGAAAGCACTAACTTCCCCGCAAAATTAAGCTTCCCGGCTGTAAATAAATAACAAAACCATATTTCACGGTTAGCTTTAAAAAGAGTAGTTAAAACTTTAGCTCAACAAAATTTTAACTCGGCTAAAACTTTGTTATAGTTACACTAGAAAATATTTAATCTTGAAAAAAATTTAAACGCTGCAGTAAACATTGCCTGTCGATGTTGTTATTGCGAAAAAATTCCTACCATGTATTTGCCAGAAAATTTGTGATTAAAATATTATCAAAAATAAATAAATCACGTACTAAACATGAAACTCTTTTTATTGAAAGAGTATTGTCGTGTTCTTTAGGTTTCAGCGATCCTTACTGCATGCTGGGAATACAGCCCGGCAACGCAGGTGCACCATTGAGTCCACAAACGAATTTAACGGCGCATTCGCCACATACACCCCCAGCATCCCCGAGGCAAGCAATGCGCGCTCTTTCTGATGGCGGCGAGATCGAGAACTCCCATCATGAGAAACTTCGAAAGCATCACAGGTAAGTTATGAGAAAATGCGGAAGAAATGATTAAGTAAATTCTCGTGCTAAATAATACAAGCAAACGTTTTGTAAAAAAATATTGTAGAATTTTCGTAGTTTTTTGTTTTGACAATCAATTATTATAATTAGGGATGCGAGACGATGTGAGCAAATCTTATCGCGCCTTTAGTTTAGGACATCTAGCAGATTTAATTTAATTTAATTATCTTTTCTAGTCTAGTCTGGTAATAGATATTGTGTTAATTAATAAAATAACTGCTAACTAAATAAAACAACTGCTCACGGCTATGGAAGTTTTATTTTTTTATTTCTCTTAGGGAGTATGCCAATATTGTAGATGTAGAATTGAACTTTTCCCTTGGATTCAAACTATTTTCTACCCTGAAAAATCATTATCTATTATTAATAACGTGATTGATGATTGTGTTCTGTTCTCTTCAAAACGTCGTTTATTATAAAAAATTGTACCATGTGTATTGTTATCAGCGATACGATAAAAAACGATGCTTAAGACTAATACATAAAATTAATGTCACAATGCGGTAAATCGCTAGCGGAAGGTTTTTATTATTCATTCTATTTTCATACCATGCTTTGTTCAAAATATTATTCATTCTATTTTCATACCATGCTTTGTTCAAAATATCCTGTTGGGCATAAAATCGAAAACAGGTCCATTGGAACGCATTCTACTTTTAATCATTTCTTTCAGCACTCGCGTCTCTTAAAATTTTTATTCCACGTTCAACAAAAATAGTTGTACCTTCCAATAGCGATTTATCGTATACGAAGCACATTTCTTCCATTTTTAAAGTCTTTTTAATAACGAAATTTCAATATTTTCATAAATATCAACTAGGCACATCCGTCAAAAACTATAAGAATAGTCAAATAATAATTTTGTTATTCTGTTTTTTTAACATTTGACCTTCTATAAAATTTTAAGCAGGGGTCGTATCGATGGAGACTTTTGAGATATTTAGAACGACGAAATAAAGACCCATGCAAAAATTCAGCTAGCTGCTAATTTTTCCGCAGATTTGCCATATTTTTGTCTAATTTTCCTGGACTAACATGTCTAAAAAACATTGATGATCTAACAATAAATCATTAATATTATATTATTGACTAATTGCTTAAATTTTAGCAATTACTAAACCAGCCACGCTAACTCCCGTAAGAGTGTCGGTCTTTAATAATATCTCGTTGGTGTTACTATATTTTTGAAATACAGAGGATTATAGCTAAGAAATCAGGAAATGCCAATCTAGAATGTTTCAAATTCGCGACGATATGCGCATTAACTATACGCTAACTCCGACATTTGCGACAATACGACGCGATGTACAATGGACGCGCCGGAAGTAGCAAGTTCTGTGAACGGACGAGCGTCGTTCTCCGGATGGAGAACGGGCAAGAGCATTGAGAGAACAAGCCCATTTTGCCGTGTATCTTCCCATATTGTCCCGTTCGCCACCTGGTGGTATAAGTAAAGTGATTAATGCAGCGACGACGACGAGAGCGTTAGCAGTGCGTCAGCAGCTGCAACGAGACGCGCGACGTTTACGAGGTGTCGTACGCGCCGTGTATGCACTTCGTTAACCGCGTGAAATTCCATCCGGATTCTGCGAGAGCGGATGTCATGCTGCATATTGGCATAGAAGATCTGGAAGCCTTGTGAGGAAAACTTGAGACTCTATCTCCCAACGGCGACACAATTTGCCAATTAGCATCAAAATCTCATCTTCCGAGATTATTGTGTTACAATACAGATGCGAATAAAATGAATTTGTGTACTCTCCAGTTAATGCAAGACAAATGTATAATAACGCAATTCCAATGTAATTTAAAGTTTATTCTACAAGAAATAAAGATTTATGAAAAATATGTAGCTATTTTTGAAAAAAAAAATTAAGAAAATAAATTGCAGGACATATAAACTTAAAAAAAATAAAGATAGAGTATAAGGTACTTTATCATAAATTTCATTTGTTTTTTTAATTTATCATTATTAATTATGTAGTATCAAATACTTCCGTCTCTAAAGACGGGAGAGGTAAGTTTGCTGAAAAAGTTAAGCAACAATATTTAATGATCAGAAATCATTAAACGATTGGATGTTAGAATGAATTGTCAGAATGTTAGTGACGGATTACTAAACTATACATTCCAAATCAGTTTCAGGCTTTCATTTAAGCGCAAGGAGCACAGCAGCAGGCGGGAACACCGCGAGTCCTTGAGCGGTGCTCTACCCGCGAAGTTTATACGAGCTACCTCGGTGAAGCCGCATACGTTGAGCCCGCGTTGGAACGAGAAGTTCCGTTTGTAAGCGAAAACTTTGGGGCCTGAACCCCTCGTAATTGGCTCTCGCAATGGCGATCCTTTATTAGTCTAACTAGTGCAAATCCGTGTACTCATGCATAACCGTACACCGATTCCTGTTTCAGCGATATTGATGACATCAACACGGACATTCTCCATCTGGACATATGGTGAGTTTGCACTGCATGCATAATAATAATTGCCAATTTAATACCTTCAACTTATTGAAGTTTAGAACGTTCCTGGATTTTTTTTTATAATTTGTCCCATTTCTAGCTTTGTACAGAGTAGCTTATAAGTGTCACAAACATAACACAAAATATTTCGATCAAATACACGCGTCGAAAAGCACCCTTATGATCGATAAATCACCCTCTCGATCACTTAACAAATTCTAGTTACACGAAAAATGATTTGGTCTATTTCTACTTTTGCACAAAGTAACTCCTAAATACCAGATACAAAATAAAAAATATTCTAATTGAATACACTTAAAAAATTTTAGTTATGCCAAGAATTATTATCGAAATATTTTGTATTGTGACATTTACGTACTTATATATATGAGTTATTCTGTGCTAGAAACGTGACAAATTATTTTCAAAAATCGCTCCCAGGAATGTTCCAAAATTCAACCAGCTGAAGTTTTTTCAAAGTTAAAGCAAACGTTACGAAGCTTACTCTGATAATTTCAGGGACCACGACGATGAGTCCTCGGTGTTCGACGCGGTCATCAAACTCAATGAAGTACGAGGTGTGAAAGGGCTTGGGCGATTTTTCAAACAAATCGCGCAAAGTGCTAGATCCGGAAGTCAGGATGACTTTCTAGGTTGTGTAAACATCCCTTTAGTGGTAAGTGTTCAATTTATCGTTGATTTAAACTAGCTTAACACTGTAATTTTGAATAGAATAAAATTTCCTCACCACGTTCATTAGTTTGAAAAAATTTTGAATTTAGAGCCCTGTATGTGTGTGTGTGTGTGTGTGTGTGTGGTTAAAAATTATAAAATTTTTAAATTTAATTGAAATATCTTGAGTATCTTCTCAACATTTATTTGTTTGAAACAATTTTAGAGAATCTGTTATTAATTTTTTTTTTAAATATGAGATTAGATGATAATATACATATAATAATTAGCGTTTTGTGATACATATATACTAAAATTCTAGAATATTTAATATTATATTATTTGCCTATAGGATATTCCGAGTACTGGAGTAGATCAATGGTACAAACTTGAGGCGCGAACACAAAGGAGTAACATCCAAGGTAGAATCAGACTGAAATTATGGCTGTCGACGAGAGAGGACCGCGGAACATCCGAGGAGGATAATTGGGGCGAGCTGAGGCAACAAGAAAGGCTGTACACAATTTTCCTTAATCATGAAATGAACAAACAAGGGGTACGCATAGCATAACAAAATGTTAAACCCAATGCGAAAGATATGTTTACATTATATATAGAATACAGCAGTGACGTAAATTTATCCGTAGTAAATTTTCCCGGCACAGTTTTCCGTGCAATTTACAAGTTTATTGAACATATAACACAAAATTGCGCGTTGCATGTTATATGATACATATCGTCATAAAATTTCGAACAGCTATCATAAAAAGTTTCTAAAAAAAATATGGAGAGATAGATAAATAGATAAATTCGGAAATACATTTTCTCCTGATATTCTCAAAATTTTTTTCCAGTATTCTCTTCATGTTAAATTAAATGTTGACGCGTAAAAATTATCAAGCATTTTAAAATATATTGTTAATTTCTCTCCGTAAGTATCAATCATACGTCCTTATACGCACTTGCGTGGTTTTCAGGAAGACTTCACTGGGGAACTGCCGCAAACCGCGCTGACAATCTTACATCAACACGCGGTGCAAGGTGATGTCACCGACTTGCAGCAGGCTTTGATAAGGTGGGTGGCGAGTTCCCGACAGCCCGCCGTCGACCCACGTATGCTTCATCGTCTTCTGCAGGTAACTCGAGTCACCGGAGCAACTTGCATCTTGCCATCTTACAACGATATTAGATTAACGAAACTATTAAATAACAATTATAAACTTATACTTAAACTATTTCTCAAACTTAGGAACTTGACAATCGATGGCACACCGAAACGCTGTCACGCGACGCAGAGCAGTGTCTAGCGGATTCCTTCAATGATTTCTTAGAAGTGTCTTTGAAAAAAGTTAGGCAACACCGAGTATTGTATCCACCTCTGTATAGACCGACTATATCGAAATTGGATTATCTGCTCAGGTAAATCCATATTTTTATAATAAAACATACTGTACAAAATTGCAACGTTAAAAATTTAATTACAATTTATGAAATTAAATGCATAAAACTTGATATAAAAAATAATTTTCATTAAGTTTAATATAATTAAATTGATTAATTAAAATTAGGTATGTAATAACAATTATTGTTGTTATACAGATGCCTGGGACTTCTTTCCAATATGAAGGCTTTCCGAACTTGCTGTCCCTTCAACAAGGAAATTCGTGGCGAGATCATTACCGCTCTCCGAAAGGGAACTCTTGAGTGGTAAGTAGATATTTTGTCATAAAATATCTGTTCAATTAAAATTTACCTTTTATTTTTTTTACTAATTTTTTTGTGTATGCATCAATTATACTAAAATAATCGCGTTAGTTAAAAGATAGTAACAATAGAGTTATAAAAATAAAACTTGAAAATTTTATTTAATTTTAATATTAATTTGGCAGGTATGAAGATACCAGACAACAGACAATGTGCTATGATCAGGAACCTGATCAGGACATCGATCGAGTTTTGCAAGATTTCACGAACTTAGTAACCGCATTACTAGTCGATCTAGAACAGGGACTTTTATATTACAATAGTCTCTTTGAAAGGTAAGTCTTTCTAGAATTTGCTTTAGAAGACGTACGCGCGCGCAATGTAAAGATATAGATATAAGAAAACATTTATAAATATATAATTTAAAAATAATGTTCAAAGAATTTTCGCAATCACTAAATACAACAGTGCTAAATCGGTTTTTCTATTCTAATTTATATTTATAAAACAATATATTTCTTGCAATGTTTTATAATTAACAAGATTTTTCTATGATCAAGATTTTTCCACGAATTTAGAAGAACGCAGAAAATTGTTATTTTATTGATATAACGAAAAATCTGTCTAATTACGATACATTTAATTGTATGTGTTTTAGTACGAATGGTGTGCCATATTTCTCAGCAGTTTACAAGCAACTGGAAAAGCTGGTAAGGACGCAAACGACAGAAACGTTCCTCGTGAACAAGCCATAAGAGATATTTATATAAATAGGTTTTTTACTTGTGATTTTTTGCAACAATATCGCGTCAAAGACACACTGTCACATAACACATCATTATTTTTTATTCACTGTGTCGTCAAGCTGGGTGTGCTATGTTTGGCTTAAACGCTTTATTCGAGACGTCGATCGTGCTAGCGAGTGTAAAAAGATCTCATGAAAAAGAGAAGATTATTCCGATTATTCTTTTCCAAGCCACACTCAAATTTAAAAACGAAAACACTGATTAGAATGTGTTTGAGAGAAATTTGACTAAATTTCTGGTCCTTAAGCCAGCCACTGTATTTAATTTGACAAAATTTCAAAGTTACTTAGAAATACATTAAATTCGGTCGACGTCCTTGCATTGAGATACATATTACTGTTTATATATAGAGTGTCCCAAATTTTTATGATATATTGCTTTACGAAGATATGAATGGCGATTAAAGTATGTGTTTTATATATATATATATTTATTTATTTATACATATTGTACAAAATAACAAGCGCAATTGAAGAGAAATGAAAGTAAGTTGTAAAATAATTACAATTATGGTAAGGTCACGCTCGGACACGCTGTAAATAAACAAGTCGCAGTGACCTGAAGGGGCCAGGTTGGGAAAAAGCGTGACGGCGAATTATAAATGTCCATCAGGTCAGCGCGATTTTACTGTACACGAGATGTTTGTCCATAGCTGGCGGAACACGTGGCGAAACACATGGAGAACACTTCCGAGGTACTTTTTTTATCGCCACCACAAAATATTAAACTTTCTTTCTCTTTCTCTTCTATTATCACTCTTTTTTACTCTTACCTCCAGTTCTCTCTCTTTTTTCTCTCTCTCTTTCTCTTTCTCTCTCTTTCTGTTACTTCAAATTTCCTGCATAATGTAAAACTGTTGAAAATCGTCGCATTTTTATCTGCATACCCATTAAAAATATGTAAATTAATTACTACGTTCATTACTACATTAATAATAATAACAAAAAGGATTACGGAATTAATTACTGCGCACTGCGTAATTGTATTATATAACTACGCTTTGGTTCGTGTAAAATAAATAATGGACGTAAAAAGATAATACGAGTATGCAGTTAAAGAAATAGACGTTGTCAACCTAGTAATTACTGAATATATTTTATTACATGTATATATTGTTATATATATATATATATATATTAGTTTCAAGGCGATTAACTAATCTCAATTTTGATTAGCAGTTTAAACTCACGATTTTATAGTATTTCTATGAAAATATAGATATATAATATAATTTATAGAAATTCCATATAGTTTTTTTAACACGAAGAGAGCACACACTTCTACACACATAAATACAAAAAGGAGTTAATACCCGCAAAATGCACGAAACAGACAATAGTGTGCCAATTAGATAACTTCAAGAAATTACTATATTAATAAAAATATTTTGTGATGTTTTAATATTATTTTAAAAAAAGTTTATTTTATTAATTGTAGTATATCGATGACAAAAATGCATTTTAATATTCTTATCATCGGCGATGCAGTAATAGAATATTTTGTCTTTTTTCTCCACGTAAATCAGCTTGAGTTGATACAAATTTCCTTGATCAAAGAAAAAGCTATGACGCACACTACTGTCTTGTATACTATTTAGCATTTGTCAGTTCTTTATTTCCCACCGTTAGCCATATTCTTCACGCCACCCACGTATCGCGTAGTCCTCGTGAGTAAAAACCGTCGCATACTGCATGTGCCCATCCGAATCGTTAGCGAGACACAGCTGCACTTGACGCGTACCGATTGCATGCGCTCGCCAATTCAGCAAGTGATGCACCACTCAGTTGCCTCTGTGCCCTTACTTTTAGCCGCGGTACGAGTGTATTTCTCGTTACACATGACTGCCTGGTTTCGCTCGATAAAAACAGCTTAAGTCGACGCGGAACCATGTACGTTCGAGAAAGCATATTTAGTAATTTATTGTTCCTTAAAAATAGCTCTTCAAAATCGCTCAATTTGTGCAGAGATCATTTTAACATTTACAAAATATTTAAACACAAAATTGTATAATATTTACAAATAAATAAAATAAGATTGCTAGAAGTGAATAAATTTTTGAATGTTATAGTACTATTTTTTATAGTATTATTCAAATACTATAATTCATATTTTTATATTTTAATTAAAATTGATCATCAGACAAGTTATCAATTAATTTACAATATATAACACGAGGAATACATTTGTACTTGTTTAGCGTTCAGCAAAAAATGAATGAATTGAAATAAATTGCAAAAATGCGTTTTTAGGAAAATACACACGTACTTTTCAAGATCAATTGTACTGTTTAAAAAATAATTACATTTTTTGCATTTTTTTTTGTACTAATTAATTCCGAACAGTAATATATGTAAAATGTAGAATATTTCATTGATTTAGATATGCAGAGTAATCAAATCTAGAAGTATACATTTTGATATATTTTATCATGAAAATGAAATTTATTTGTAAATTATTTGTTGCAAGAAATTAGTTTAAATAGAAAAGAACGTGAAGAAATAGCCAGAAATTTAATGCTTGTATAGACAATCTTAAATTTAAATAGTTATAAATTTGTAACTTCAAAATTCTTCTTAGTAATTTATTTTTTGCGGAACAAATAAGAACATAAAAGACGCGTAATTTACATTTTTTGCACTTTCAGGAATGCCTTCGCGCATCCTCGATTCCGACATCCGACGTCTCGCGAGTCCTGATTAAATTTCTTCCGTAGATGCCATAAAACTTCAGTCCCTCGCAAAACTTTTGCTACTTATATTGATGTTGAAATTATTCACACAGTTCTACCGCGAAAAGTTTCAAGCAGAAAGCTCGATCGTGAGACACGTTTCCTTACCGATCTAACCGCACTTTTTAATGTCCTGAAAAAATTCGCGTTGAGTTAAAATTTAATTAGTCGTGAACTTTTACAAATTTTTAACAGAATCGTATATTTTCGCTTGCACATTTATTTCCGGGCAAACTGTGTACGTATCACAAGGCTGGAGGGGATACCTGAAACTTCCCGAACATAATGCATATCTCCAGCTATAGTTCCCTAAGCAGTTTACCGTAAAGATGCTCGAGAAGTTTTGTAATGCTGACCGCCTGCTGTGTTGTACAAGCACAACTCCCGTTTATCCCTGTTAACTACTATCGCCGGGACTGACATCCGGCACCTGTCTCGAAACCTCTTTTGAGTAAAGTCGCAGAGGATCGCACATCAACGTGCAACACGATAATTTCGCTACAAACACGCGAAATTGAACTTTAATAGCTTTATATACAAATTTCACCGAGAATGCAAATCCGCTAGGGCTTGCGGTGAACGATGCATATATAATCCAACAAATTTGTTGTTCCCTGTGAGGTATACGATGCGTGATAGCGCATAAAATCGGTCTTCTCAACGAAATTTAATTTTAGATGCATTTTATATGCATTACATCGGGTTAAACATTTTTGGCAGGATAAAAAGATATGCGATCCTGTATCAATAGATATCGTAATTTCTTATTATCTTGAATTATTTTAATGTACTCATAATTCAATGATTATAATATAAAAAACATAAAGATATTTTAATTAATATTGAAACAAAATATTATTAAAATGTGAGTAATTCGTAGGAAACTATTATCATCTATTAAATATATGTATATGTAATTATACATTAAAATATGGAATAAAAATTAATGTAAAAATAAATTGACGATAAAATATTTAGAATGGATAAAAGTACTATTGTATAAATTTATTTCTTTGTAACTGACATTTAGACAAAATGTTGGATCGTGTATGAATTATTTTACAAGCAATTATGTACACTCATATCTCACAAAGAAGGCATGTACCAAACTTTCTCTTTAACAGGGCTTTATCCCACTTTCTTAGTAAAAAAAAAGTTTGAATTGTAATTGCTACTTAATTAGCTAGTTAAAAATTAAAAAATTTTGGTAAAGTTTGACACAATGCTTCAAGAAAAATTTACGCCGCAAATAGCATTGTATAATAGTATAGCTTAAATAAAGTAATTATTGAAAATAATATTTTCACGCTTGTGCGTCTGATGCTGCACGATCGAACAGATCGCGTGTGAATTGAAACGATCACTTTCGCAGATGCACAACGAGCTTGGTGCAAGGGTCACTACCGCCTGTCTGCAGCTGCATGGTCAAAATCGAGACGATGAGTATGTTCTACCACCCGGTGCTGAGATAGGAACGCCGATATTCGAGCTTTACCTGGCACTCCAAGATTTTGTAAAGTAAATATTTGTTATATTGCTAATTATATATACATATATACCTATATATTTATTTTTAATATTTATATTATGAAATTATTACATTATATGTTTATATATATATATATATATATATATATATATATATATAATGTAAATTATATGAAATTATATAAAATATTGATTTTTAACATTATTTTAATTTACACATTTTTATATGACTAAAAAATTACGATATTTTCTTAATATTTATTTTACATTTTTAAAAAGCGAGAAATATAATATGGAATATTATAATTGCATGTAAATCTATGTTTTTTTTAGCATGAAAGAGAATTTACCACAATCCGATCATAAAACTCTGGCGATCTGCAAGTATTACGAGTGGTTTAGACCAGCTATCGACAAATGGCTGGATCTGGCAAAACTCAAGGCAATTCAAAGAGTACGAAGAGCCACGGAACTCGATCGGATCTGTACCGGGGAATATTTCGTTAAACATTGCACATCGGCAATCGACGTCACTGCGTGCTTTTACCAGGTTTCTTTATTTTTCTAATTTATATGTTCATGAAATTGCAATACTCATAAGTTTGTTATAAAAAAATCTATTAACAATTACATATTTTTTCATAGATTAAAGAATTCTGGAAGAAACTAGCGTGGCCGGATCTAATTGGATCTTATACCTTTGTGTTGAAAGTCATTGATGTAAGTATTCACAATTATTCTTTAACAGTTTCAATATTTTAAATATATTGTTTATATTGTCTTATTAAGAAATTATTGTGGATAAAATATTCAATGCTTTAAATCATCGAAATAGGTGTTATGAAATTCCACATTTGACAGTTCTCTTAATATGAAAATGTATTATAATAATTAAAAGTGCATATATTTATAAATTTTAAAAATACGTTGTAATATGCCATTGCAATATCGTTGTGATATCAAAACGCTATTTGCTGTAGGCAATATGCAGCTCCGCGGCTTACTACGCCGAGATAACACATCAGAAACTGGCGGATAGCGGATATTATGAAGAGCATACACCATATAAGACCACAGATGAGGTAATCGCTCAGGTAGAGATTGCTTCGCTTTAGTATACAAACAGTAGTACACTTCCTGCTTCGCAAAGTAGTTTCGCTAAACTATGAGAATATTAGATGCGATTACAACTTTGCACGACAAGCAGAGCATGATGCGATATGCAGTGCAAATTCCACTAATAGCATTGATTTATGTAAAAAGTATACCAAAGCTTATAGGCTATTATAACATATAGAATATTATAATACGGATTGAAAATTTGACTAAGTTTTATATATGAAGCAATCATTCATATTATATGTATAAATAAGGTAAGTTATCCACGCTTGGAATTATGAATGTCTTAAAGTATAATAAAATATACGAGAATATTATAAATAAGAAAATAATCAAAGTTTAATAGACATCTAAGTAAATCTTATTGTAAAATATGTCGTAACTCTCAATTTATTAATTCTCAAATAATTATACATGTTTTTATTAATTTATATATATATATATATATATATATATTTGATAAGAGATATATGACATCTTAAAGTAAATTTGTGAACTCTAAGTTTATATTATAAGGTTTTGATACTTTTTTCCTTTGAGAGTACTTCAAAACTTATAGTATAACATACCCTTAATAAAATACCCTTTTATGTCGCGCGAGTGAAATATGAGAGTGATATGATAATTATTAATTTGACACTCGACAATTAATTAATAATTTATGCTGCTTTCAGATGTGCGTAGCTATCAATGGTCTCGAGTACGTGAGAAGATGGTTATTAAATCTGGGCGAGGAACTGCGCGTGGAACAGATTCTGACGGCTCTGGAGACTCAAGCGGGCGAATCCGTTCGAATGCAATGGCGAAACACTATGATAACACCGCTGGAGCAGACCCCTGGGCAAATGTTGCTCTTCATAAATCAAATAGTTTCGAGAATCGGAGCGAAGGTACCTTTGAGATAAAACATTGATGTAAATGAAAAAAGATGTCGAGAAGTTGCGCTTGCTTAAGTTTTTAAATTGGATTTCTCACAAGTAATGGCAACTTGTAATCCCCCTCGTTCTATAATTTACAACCCTGTGTTATATATTCTATATATAATTTCTTCACTATCGCGATCTCTAGATGAGTATCTCGCTGCTCTTTTTCGAAAGGTCATCAAGTCAGCGCAGAGCGTAATTTACATCCCAGTTTTAAAACGCCGCTGGCGCTTATTAGTTTGCAAGCATAATTACTGTCGCGATAATATCGCTGTAACTATCGCTGGTGACTATATTAACAAACGCATATTGAAAAGCTGCTAGCTGCAACATTCATTCTACATTGAACATGATCGTACTATAGTGTACTAAACGCGGTGAAAATATATCTATAATAGTAAGTTCTGAATAACTGATGCATTTATTTGCGACAAATAATCTTGTTTTATCTGTTTCATGTAGATGAGACCACCTTTGAAAAAGGCGATGTTTCACTTGGCTTGGTCCCCTGACAGTCTGCCGACTGCAGAAGCGATCGCACCTCTCGTGGAATACCTGGATGTTCATCTAGTAGCACTTAACTCGGCTCTGCTGACCGCAAATTTCAATCGCGTTTTGCAGGACATTTGGGAGGTGGTCCTTAGTGAGTTAGGCAATCAAATGGATGGAAATGCCGAGGTAATTATGCCCTTGTCAATTGCATGAATATTAATGACTTTTCTTGTAATTGCATGAATATTAATAACTCTTCTTTGTTAATAAAATTATTACCCTTTGATATGATAAAATTATTTCGACAAAATTTGCATCATGTATTGCGATACATTTCTAAATTCATATATTTGCAAATAATTTGAATTACACAAACGACAGAATAATAAAGATAAATATTATATCACTTTCAGGATAAACCAGTGATGTTTTACGAGAGATTGCACGAAGCGCTTGACTTATTAATGAGATTTTTCAACGCTGACGATAAGGGCTTGCCGTTAGAAATATTACGTCGTCAAAGTTTCATGAACGCGGAAGAGCGTCTGCAATACCATAAAATGGACACGACTTTCTTGATTGATCGCTATTACCAGCAACGTCTTCTGGTATGTAATATTCTACATCTAAATTGAATTAAGTTAATTTTTTTTATTTTAAATGACAAAAAGCAATACCTTGTATGAATATATTTAAAAATATTCTTATCTTTAAAAATTTTTACATAAAATGTTTATACATAGTACAACGTTTAACTGAATAATTATGTAAACTGTGTACTACAATGTAGTAATACATATTTATAATTTTTAGGACCAACTTAGCACAACTAGCTATGAATATGGAGTTCTGACGGTACGAGCTTATTGGAATCATGATTCACTTTGCGTCGAAGTGATAAATGCCAGAGATGTCATACCATTAGATCCAAATGGATTCAGCGATCCCTTCGTGATAATTGAATTGTTGCCGCGACGAATGTTCGAGCATTGCGCCGAGCAGCAGACTAATGTCAAGAAGAAAACTCTAAATCCCATGTTTGACGAGTGTTTTGAATTGTAAGTTTGTTACAGTTTAAGTTTAATTTACGTTACAACATTTAATTCGATAATAGAACAAGTATATTCACACAATGAAAAGTACCTGTAAAAAGTTTATTACCAAGTTGATTAATATTTTACATAATGTGATATTTTGAATTTCGTTAAATTTATGTTATGAGATGTTATTTTAATTTAAATGTCAAAACAATTGAAAAAAATATATTTTTCCTTAAAATGTATAGTTTTAACGAATATATGCAAATACTTTCTTTCAGTTCAGTGAATGTGGAGCAGTGTCGTGATCCTAACGCAATGGTCCTTTTTACGGTAATGGATCATGACGTTCTCACGTCGAATGACTTCGCAGGCGAGGCTTTCCTAGGACTCAGTAGCATTCCTGGCGTCGTTGACACAAACACCAGCATAGACAATTTCCACGGCCTCAAGCATCAGGAACTACCGCTTATGCACCAAAAAAATCGGCGTGAGTAAACTTATCGAATTTCACACATTATAGAATTTACAAAGTTACATAATTTATAAATTTCTAAAGTTTACTTCAGATTTCAAAATAGATGCGTTATAAATTAAATTTATAAGTTAAGGAATCTAAAAATATCTCGAAATATTTGTAGTTCTGCGTATATATAGACTTGTGATAGAAAATTATATTAAAAAAAACATTTTAATTATAAATTTATCTTATTTTAAAATATTCGAGATTTTAAAGCATTTTACATAGGTAACTAAAAATTGGAGGAATATGTATTTAATATTATAATATTAAAATTTTATCTTTATAAGTCATTCTACATTAATGCTTATTTCTCTTGCAAATCAATATATGCCTTTTGTTCTAGATCATCCGATCCTCCAAATATTAGAAACCCGCGTCGGCGACAAAATGGCTCTTGACTTTGTGAAGAAGCAGAAACAACGATTCGCCACGTAAGCGCATCAAGTGCTGAAAAAGGAGAAGAAGAAAACCATATGGTGATTGCATCGCAATCGCTATCAAGACTTGTATACTAATCTTAAGAGTCAATGAAGAAGATCGAGGATAAAAAAGGAAGAAGAGAAAGTCCATCCCTGCGATATATCGTCGATTCTCACTTTCTCTCTCTCACGCACTCTCTACTTTTCTGCCTATCTTTCTACCAGCCTTCATCCCAAAGATTCGTCAGATCTATTTCAGTGTAAATCGTGTTGAATATAATTGGTGTTGGGTCAAAAAAAAGATTAAAAAATAAAGAAAAAAAGAAAAGGCGCGGTGAAAGAGGCCCGAGAGAAATATATCAGAACTATTTTTGTGTCAAAGAAGAGATGTGTTAGAGCAGAACGACGCAGCACGCAGGAAGCAGTAAAACACGTCGGTGTGACGTAGCTAAGGATAAATGTTTTAAAAGCCGTCAGGCTCGAAGCGACACCGGAGCGACCGTAAAATTCTTTATTCTACATTTTTTATACAGGGATGTCCAGATATTTAAACGTCTCGCAAGCGCGCGCTTGCGAGAGTTTAAGGATTTTCCTAGAAAAAAAAAACACGAGTGTTCACGTTTTCGGATAAACTGAAAAGAGACACGAGACTTCCCATCGCGGTCGCGCGATCTGGTTTTCGACGTTTGTCAGGCATCAATTATGAATAGATATCGGGGTTTCCATGATAAGAATATAAATATGTACGATGTATGATGACTTTCTTCAAATCGAATTATTTTCACAGTTTCCATAAAAGTGAAAGTCATCGGGGTTGCTCGTGGAAACTTCTACCTCGATTGTTCAGAATTGATTCGCGACAAAATTGGGAGGAAAATACAAGTCTACTCTTAAATTCTTGTACCATTTCTTACCAAAATTATATAAAACGGTTAAGTTGTACAAATTTCTCTTCCCTCCGGGCAACGCACAACGAATAATAATATTAGTGGCTAACTTAGATATTGATTACACTAATCAATTGTTGAACAGAAATAAAATATATTTGTCAATGAATGTATAAAAATCAAAAGCACGTCGAGTATATTAATATTGTTCTCTTTAAAAAGATTACTTTTAGCTACATATTTTTCAATCATGTTAAGCTCAAATTATTCTAATGTATTTCAAATAATTCGAATAAGATACTTTTCCTCCCCGAAGAGCAGCCGCGCCGCTTCAGCGTCGCTTCGACGACGCGAATCAAGCCGAGAAGGTGGATATACAATATTTTTCTTACTCGTCATTGGCTACAGCCTCTTTCTATCTTTTCACCATCTAATCTACCTGATGACTAAATTGTCAACGCAGCTTTTTTCGCTGAACCGCTTATGCGATGAAAACAGAAACGCATTCCACAGAACGTTCTACTCCGTAATTTCTTCAGCATCGGAAGAGAACTACAAAATATTTGAGAGAATGTATCAGAGAAACACGAATTTCACTTTCGGACACAAATGTTATTGAAAATTGAATGTATGTTTCGCTTGAAAAACGTTCTCTGTATACATCGCCTTCAATCATGCTAAATTTTTCTATTGAATTTATTTTGTTAGTACGCAACATGCGATTCTATGTAGTCTTTCTAACTTTCCGATGCGACGCTGACGAATTCTTCGTAAGTAATATTAAAGATATGTTAATAATTGGATAAAAAATTGAACTATTTAAAAGCGAAATTAATATTAATTTTAAGGTGCAATTCTTTTTAACTTATCTGATGAGTCAAATTTTGATTTCATTTCGAGAGCAGATTGTGGTAAGAATAACGCACTCATTTCTTATCACATATATCAAGAAAATTTAATAATATTTGTTTGCATTTCTAATAATTTACACAAATAATTTAAAATACGTAAGCAAATAATACATGTTAATGTAAGAGCAGTCGCGTTTCATGTTTTATGTTATACATATAATTATTGATATGAAACAAAAATTTTGGATGCAGACAAATCAAACGTGCGAAAAACTGAAGGCGTGAGAAGGGACGACGGCAAAAGGGAAAGATTAAGTCAAACGCACATATGTCAATTTTTCTAATGCACGTGTCACTTCGTTATGTAATTATACAAAAAGAAGATAATTATACGAACGAGCGTCCCGCGCAACACATCTTAATATTTTGCACGCCTTGTACAATAAAAAAGAGCCGGTAAAAGAGAAAGGAAAACGATTATAAAGAGCAAGATCCGTCTGTTTGATTCTCAATATATTTCGTGCATTGAGTCCAATCAAACTCTACTATTTGCTTTTCCAACTTTTTTCAACCACCCAAAAGGTATGTACGATCTATCTTGTATTGTGAGACAAATAAATTAATATAAATGTTTGTTTGAGTGATTAATGTTTTTCTTTGATTGACCACACATTTAATTAGGAAATGTCATCAGTATATGATAATACTCATAATTAGATATAAGCCAAAAAATATTTAATTTATTGCTTTATTAAAAATATTTTGTCTTATAGCGCTAATATTATTAACTCTGTTACTCGCATAGCTAAATTTCATACAAACAAAAGATTGTATTGCTTTTTTTTATTTTATATGAAACTAATAATTATTTATTTCATTTACAGATTTAATAGCTATAAAACATTCAGGACTGTAAATATTTTTAGTTCTTATAATCCAAAATTACCAAGTCTCGAGGATTGAAAGATATAAAAATTCAAATTATCTCTAGTCTAATTTGAAAATATTTACCGAATTAAAAATATTTCAAATTTTATTTTTAAAAATAATATAGATTTAATTAATAGATATTCAAATTTTGTATGTTTCGTTGTAAAAATATAAATCAAATTTAATATGTAAGACAAATAAAATATTTAAAATATTAGCCAGGTTCTTGATTAAGTAAATCATGCGTGCTGTCAGTTTTCACTAGTTGAATTGGATTTTCTTCCGTTCGTATTATGGGTTCACCATCGAGTTTCTCTAAATTTGATAGACGCCGTGCCACCTCGAGTCTCCATTGCTCTACCTGCAAGATATAAGTATAAAATGCTAACATTTAAATTTTGCATACTTAGAAAATTTCTAATATAATATCTTCAATAATATTTAAATATATTTAAATATTATTTAACTTATATCATAAAATAAAATACATTTAATTGCTATAATCTATTTTATTATTGCAATATATCTCTAGAGTATATTTTAAAATATTTTAAAACGAGCAAGTTTTTCTTAAATTTATTATATAAAAAAATGTAAAATTATGTTCTACAATTTTACAAAGAATACACATTAATATGCTAGATACCTCGAGATTCTCGTATAACGGATTACCGACAAAAACTAGATCTCGAAGATTTGCAAGCTCTTGTAGCCTTGCAAATTCGTTCCATTCTCGCACCAAGTTGTTAGACATGTAAAGTACATGAAGATTTCTCATAGCCTGGATACCCTTCATCTTTTCAATGCAATTATAGGAAATCCAAAGTTCCTCGAGAGTGTCGCCTAAAGGTTCAAGACCGGCAAAACCTTTGATTAAATTACGACCTAATGACAGGATCTTTAAATTTTTCAGTGTTCCAACGCCTACAAACAAAAACATATTTAAAAAATTAATTTAAATTAATATAACATATAATATTCTATCACATCATTTTGCTATTCCTATTATTACTACATTATTATCAATATAATGCATCTCAAGCAGAATAACAAGTCATGATATCAAAATAACATCAAAATGATTAAAAGTTACTTTTCAATCAGTTATGAGTCATTTTAACGTCATTTCGATATTGCAACCTGCTGTTCTGATGCTTAGAATTATATCATAATTAAATATCATGCAGTACATTGTAACTATTATGAACAAAACAATTATAAAACGTATATTATGTACATACAAAATTACAAATAAAATTTAAAATATTGCGATAAATGCCATGACTTAAACAATCAAATAATTGTCGCTAAATTACGAAATTACACGATATAATGAATTTAACAGCACTAATTATTATCACGAAAACTAATAATAACAATTAAAGACATTAACTGGTGTTCTTGAACAGTCTTCGTAATGACGTGCAATAATCATATTTACATCTTGATGTGACGCTTTACTGAGACAGTTACACGTTTGGAAACACATGCATTATGCATCCGATGGTTGTCACGTACGAGTTTCAATATGCATAAACAGTTCTGATGCAACATCTAAATGTATTGCAATTTACATAAATGAATAATTGCTGATTAATCGATGCAAAACGGCAGAAACATAAAAAAAGTAATTTCAAGGATTTTTCAATTTTCACCTTTACAAATACATATATTTATTCTTCCAAAATTTGTAAGAAGACATAGATTACTTTCTAGTCGCGTGTAGTTAATATTACATAATTGCTTAGAAATAAAAACAATAATTATTTCAATAAGAAAATCATGCGTCGTGACATAAATTATCCAGACACTTAGAACTTTTTCGCAATTTCGTAATACGTTAAATTTTACCTGCAATCTTTTCAATCATATTTGTAGATAGCGAAAGCTTTTCACAATTCGCCAAAGATGCCAGCGCATTGTCCATCTTTTCTACTGGCGGCCATTGAAAGCTCAAATTTACTTCTGTCGCCGTTGCTGCGGTTTGTTGATTCTCCTCCTCCCAACGCCGTATAGCTTCTTTGCATGTAGTCGGCTTTGCAGATGCCATATGGATGAATCGCAATAATAATATATCTTTCCAACATCGATAAAGACTTCCAACAAATCTAACATTTTTTTTTATTTGTTACATATTTATCTTAAATAATGTAAAGTATCTGACAAAACGCATATATGTCACACGTCTTGTTGTGCTAATATTTTAATATAAATAATAGAAAGTATGATACGCTCAATGTATAAATGCAAAAACGTAATTAATAGCGCGGTAAAATATTTTCATTAGTTAATTACGTCATTGATTAAAGCAGCATCGTAGCAATAACTGCGCTAATTAACGCTGAAAATACGGTTCAATATCCCAGCTTAATTTCTTGGGAATCCTATTGTCAACGCTACGCCACATCAATTAGCAAAATTAAATATGTCATTAAGCAATGTATTAGAGACAATGCGTTCGCATGCGTTATAGCGAATCATGAACGAGTGGGAAAACCGCGTTTTATGATCGTCAAAGACAGCTCGCAGACACGTGCAGCTATTCTATATATATATATATACTACGTGCGTTAGTGTATTATTCTATTTTTTTATAAATGATCATAACTACCTTGTATATCAACAATGCGAAAATAGGAATGTTCAATTTCGCATTTTTTTATTCGCATTTATATGTTTATAAAATTAATGTATATGCATAAAAATCAGCGGTCGTCACTTTTCATTCTTCATCGCTGGTCCTTTTAAGTGCCATAGCCGTCCAGGTAGCACCTCGTGTCCCGATACTGCCATGTACACGTGCACCCGAGGTTACAAGAACCGAGCACTTGTTTTCCTTGGTTGCGTGGCAATCTGCCACGGCCAGAGGTTTGCAATATCTGGCACCAAGCAAAATAATCGATGCACAAAGCGCATGCGTCTGGAGCGAGTATTTGTTAACCAAGTGTCTCGATACTAATGATTTACGATAAATATTGGCTTGGAAAAGAAACAAATAGAATCCGAAAAAAAAACGCACGCCAGGCATGCGATCGATAAGCAATGACGTGAGTTGATTCCTACACGTGTTTAAGAAGCAATGTTAACAGCAATTGTCGGAACAATGAAAGCAGCTTGCGTATTGCTGGATATACGGATTAGTAGCTTTTTAATCGAATTTAGCAATTTGCAAAAACTGAAAAACGTATAGTATTAATGTTATTGTAAATTCTTAGAAAGATTTGCTGTCGTTTCTTCTTCGAAATAGATCGAAAGAAATTATTTATTTCAACTTTTTTTTTAAATTTAATTTTAAATAATTTAATTATTTTGATTTATAAATTTAAAATTTAAATATATATAAGTTTATTATATGGCAAATATTTTAAAACGCATGCATTATTGAATATATAAATGATATGATTCATGCATCATGTGAAAACTTTTACGTATTGTGGTCAAGCAAATAGAAAAAACTCCTGCCAATATCATAATGTCGGATTAAAGCAGAAATTTTTCTCAGCATTTTATTAACCAAGAGGACTGGCAGTATTGTCACGTCACGTATTACAGCGAGCAGACACAATGACACTTTAATAACTACGTTACATTCATAGCTTTCGGGAAATGCTAATGGCATGAATGAACAAGGAGATTCGTCGGCGACGTAACTTTAAATGCGTCTTTAATTATGAAGAGGAAACTTACTCACTTTGGCGTCTTAATGAGTACTAAGATAAGAACCGAGAAATTTATATTTGAAAGAAAAGTTACGCCGCCGCGAGAGCGTACAACGTAGCAATATCGCAGGTAACATGATGAATTAACAACAAATAAATGTATCGGTAATATATGTATAATAATAGATTATACACAGTGCCATACTCAATAGGGCTTACACTGAGTTAGCTTAAATTACAAAAATACGCAAAGGCACTTGGTAAAAATCTTCGGTTCCTCGGCCGAGAAATATTTCGGGATATATATAAATCCTTGAACTCAAAGTTCACACAGCGTGCTTTCGTCACAACTCGCATTCGACGCTAGGAATCGAATTAATTGCACGACGATGGTTATAACGACGACATAACGAAGAATGCCGGAAGAGACTTGTTGAGTTTTTATTTGAATCATCAAGAGAGTCAAAATACTTTTTTTTCGAAATATATATTCATGCAGCAACGAGAGAGAAAGGAAGTTCGTAATTTGCTACTCGTAATCCGAAACATTAATTTCTCGTATACGTTATAGTCTAGGGGACAATGAAACGTTCACACGAGAAGGATAAAGTTGCACGTCATTCGCGCTTTGTTCCCGTTCAATGTAGGTGTACAGTTCTTCTAAAGCGCTCACATTTTTACGCTACATTCGTATATAATTCGAATACACAGGCGTAGAGATCGCAGAAAATAGACAGCTTTTTATAGACACTCTCCTTAAAGATTCGAAAAGGATATCTCTCTTCAGAAGACTATATAGTTTCGGGAAGGTACGTAACGCCAACCGCATCCATTCACACTGCGCGCGAGGAAAAACCACGCAACATGATAGATTTCATTTTCATCGCGCGGCAGAATATTGTACACAAAAGTGCCGCGTGAACTATGGTACTATATCAATAACTGTATCACACATATCGGTATAAAATAACGGATTACAAAATAATTGGATAGAATATTCGGTATCAAGGAATTTACAGAGTCACCACCTGAAAAAAACCGCTAATTAAAAGTTACTTAACACGCGGCTGCGTAACAACTTTTAACGCATCTGGAATTAAAGTACGCAAATCGATGTAATTATATATCTACGTTGAAATATATTATAGATGATAAAAATTATGCACGCATGGGCGCGAAACGTACACGGATCCGCTCCAATAGCGTATAGGAAACATTTTAGCAACATATATATATATATATATATATATATATATATATATATGCAGCTCACACTATATATATTTTCTTCTAACCCTAACAAACACGTTAGATGGCAAAGTAACCTCATGACTTTTATGTACAACTTAATGTCAAGTAACATTAGCGTATTGCATCCAAGTTGGCCTTAAACACGATAGCGGACTGCGGAAAGCCCATTGGAACGCGAGAAATTAATGGCACTACACGCAGAAAAATAATTAGCCAATGAAGCTAAAATGTAGCTATGGCAGCTAAGATGTGCCGTTAAAATAGGGACAACTAATGTTGTTGCTGCCGAAGTGCAATTTATTAGTTATTAAAATGTAGGTGTTACAGCAAAAAATATTTGCTGCTAAAATCAAATGATATTTAGCCGAATCTACTATGCTATTTTATCTTCGCAATAGAATAATAATATTTGCAGTATATAGCTTATATGCTACAAAATATAAATGCTAAATGCGCTGTAGATGTGCATGCCACATTACAAAAACAATTACAAATCAAATTTTCGCACGTAGCTATAAACTTAGCTCTGTGTGCTAAATGTGTGCATGATAAGAGATTTAGATACGCCATCTTTTTAGCTGCCTGTACTAATATATGCTTTTAATTTCAGTTAATAAATTTTTCTGTCATAGTGAATGTTTTTTTATCTGTAATAGACAGAACTTAACAATGACAGTAATGACACTAAGGCGGAAGGTCTTATAGCTAAGTTTGATTCAGCTACTGAAATTTAGCTACTATTACTAAGTCATTTTTTTGCGTGTAGCGAGCCAATTGCTAGCCAATTTAGTGACGCACGAGAATAGCGACGGTATTTTGTTTGCACAACGATGTAACGCCGTCACGTGATAGAGTCGACACTCGTCAACGGGAGGATTAAAGGATGTACAACGTTGGGCATATTTATACAGAGCATGCTCGCACGAGTATGCGCTTATACGTATAAATTTCGTCTATACATATACCAAATAAAAAGATTAATCGGGCTTATCGTACGGTATAGGGTCGTAAATTTAACGGCGACTAGTTCGCGCCATGGTCCAGTTTGAAATCTTTTTCCTCTCGTCACGATATCAGTTTGAACTTTTGATTGTGTGCATTTATTATGGGCCGCTAGATTCAGCACCGCTCGTCGTCACATAAAGCTAAAAGTGCGCGACATGTAAGTACCCGTTTTGCTAGAGCTTCCTCTTTAGTGCCCGTTTCCATCAATAAAGATTAACTTTAATCTCAGTTTAACTCACTCTTCGTCTTTTTCTAATTCTTAGAACTGGAAAAAAATGAAGAGTAAGTTGAACCGAGATTAAAGTTAATCTACATTGGTTGAAATAGGTATAACATGTGTAGAATATTAACGAAGAGTGTGCGATCAGTTAAAATAAGCAGCGAGAAATTTAAGAGAATTTTTTAGTACGTTAATTTATCAATTCATCAATTTCGAATTATTTTTTCGAAAAAAAATTGCATATAAAAATTGTCACGAGTGGTTTGAATATCCAGCGTTACTTGAATAAAAATTAAATGAGTAATTTAATACGCGCCACTTAATCTTTCAAAAGAAAGGGGAACGAGGTTTGTGTCGAGAAAGTCGCTGAAAAGCAACGCTCGGTCGCACCTGGTACTGAAAGGGTTAATCGCTCACATTTCTCAGGAGGTAATTCTAGTTAAACGAGCGTGAAATCGAGCGACATTTTCTCCTCCCCCCAAACACCGTGCGCATTAATTTTCACTAATTGGCACTTTGTTAACCCGATGCTAATTGTATTCATTTTTGGTCCACGGACCAATTCGCCCTCTTCCTACAGGATTACGAAATACTCTCGTAAACACTATCAGTAGCGAAGACTTGACGTTCGATTTTCTAAGCTACGTACATATTGTTGACTCAAAGATGCATCCGCACATTCAGACTACATTCTCGCGATCCATTCCCGACGCGCGGAAAAGTTTCTTCTCGAGTTCTCGAATTCTAATAAAGTTCCCGTCGAGAAGGAAATTCCTCAAGTTATACTTACGTACTAATGAAACAGTAGTTGAGGAGTCCGATTGCGATTTTTTTTATCGCCATCAACTTAAAGTACGTGGAGATTCTCGCAGTTCTTGAATTTGCTATCCTCCTTGCCGAAAAGCCAGGTCAACATCTGCCTGGCTTTCATGCTGGCGCGCACGACGCCTCTGGATTTGTACCAATGGGCGCTACCCTCACTGCCACCGCGGTTCTCCTGGTTGGTCTGGACCACCTTTAAACGGATCTGGTTGAGTATGCCAACCAGAAGCTCGTCGACATTGTGATTGATGCCCACCGACACTTCGACGAATTTCGCGCGGTAGGTGCACGCCAAGCATTTTCCATCTACAAGGCACAGTCCCGAAATTCGGGATAAAGAATTACAATTGAAATAGAGAGAAAATTTTAAATTATTATTGTTTAACCTTCATTATTATAAAATCCTCTATTATCTCAAATATAAATATAATCATAGAAAATTGTTTTAAATTCTCATTTTTCAAAATAGAAGTCAAAAGATGAAAACTTAAAAATATGTTTCTTCAATCTAGAATTTGTTACCGTTTAATAATATAAAATATTCTATTTTGTATAACAATATATTCACATGCAAATTTTACATTCCTAAACAGATTAATTAACTGAAATAAGCGTCGCATACGACACACACAAACACATACAAGACGATCTTATTTTTATTTTAGAATTTGCCTGATGTACCATATCAAGTTAACTGAACGTTCAGTTTTATAAAGTGTCACAAAACCGCCTATCCATGAAAAAAACGTGTGTGCAAAAAAGAAAGATGTTCCGCCTCTTACCCTGGGGCGAAACCACTCTCGAACGAACCAAATCGACCTTGTTCCCGACCAGAATAGCCGGTCTGCCACGAAGAAGATCTTGATCGTGAAGTCGAGCGAGATATTCTTCAGCCCTTTGAAAGGACGCCTTGTCGATCACCGAATACATTACAACGAAGGCGTCTGGCAATGGCATTTTTTCCAATTCGGTCTGCATAAATCAGGTTTATTAAATTTTAAAAAATCAAAAGTTTATTTGCTTACTTCAAGAAAGTAGAATAAATAAACAAAAGTTTATCACTTATATAATGCTTTAACGCTTTATATAATAAATAAAGATTTCTCTTGAATAAATAAAGGAGATTCTATCTTCTTACCTTGAGATTCGTGATATTTAAGAATTTAAGCTCGCTTTCTTCACCATTCAGCATCACAAAAACGGATTGCTCATTTGGCACGTCTGGAATGAGAGTAAAAAATATGAAAGATGAATACCCTCGAAACTCTCAGAAAAGCATATTTTCATGGCGGATTTAACGTCCTAGATTATGTGAATACTCAAAGATAAAAATGATATAGATATAGCGAGCATAATATTGTTATAAAAAAATATTCCTTAAAAACCTCTGTATAGTATATTCCCCCCCCCCCCTCCAAAAAAAAAGTGTAGCAACTGAAATGCCTTATTTCTTTTTCCAATAAATAATTTAGTAATAGACATCCTGTTTCCCTTTCATTAAATTTTTATTAAATAACTAAATTAATTTTGATTTTATTTGTCTTGCCGAGCTTCTGGTGATATAATATATTATATAATATTACAGCGCACTATTGACTTAAATACTCTCTTCATATCCTGCAGCGTTTCACGCTTTCTTTTCAGTCGTAAAAAAAAAAAGTAAAACGGAAAGACAGAACTATATCACGATTCGCCAACTCATTTATCTCTTCCTGCCTTTTTCTCGTTCAAAATAAATGCGATGATAAAAAAAAACAATCAAAGCCGCAAATAAATCTGTTTCACGCGCGACCGAGAAACTACTAGAGCAAGAAAATGTTCTTGTAATTGACGCGAGCAAACGAGAGAGAGAGAGAGAGAGAGAGAGAGAGAGAGAGAAAGTCAACGTAATCTTATGAGTCTAAATGCGTCTACAAGCCGCCTGTCAAGAGCGAATTGCCGATTGATTTTAACCCGCTAACGAAATATCGTCCGTGACGTCAGAGAATCGTTCGGGTGTCGTTGTCCTAACCAATTTTTTTCGGCTGAACGGCTCTCACTTCTCTAGAGATGCAGTTCCGCAGCTGCCGACGGGTGTCATAAATAACGAACGCTTCTGCCAGCGCGGGCGCCAGAAGTACAGAGCAAGGAACGGTAGATATTACAATCATATAAATCTTTTCAAACTTATATTTCATTTTCTTATTTAAAAATTTTAAGAGCTAAACAGCAATTAAAATAAAATTATAAATTTATATACAATCGGATTATAAAAATTATATATATGTGTGTGTGTGTGTGTGTGTGTGTGTGTGTGTGTGTGTAGTAGTAGTAGTAGTAGTAGTAGTAGTAGTAGTAGTAGTAGTAGTAGTAGTAGTAGTTAGGAAAAAGAAGAAGTTTGATATATATGTTTTAATCCTCCTAATAAAATACATCTTCTTTGTTTGTGTTTCATATAACACGAAAATATAATCCAAACGTTGTAAAATAGTTATTATAAACAAATTATTTAATTATTAACAGAACTAGTTTGTTGTAAATTTTACTATTTTTAACAATCATTTTTACACTTGCACATTTTACATAAAATATCTAAGCTATTGTCTTTTCTACAATCATTTCGGTTTGTTTCCCTTCCTATGTGAAGCACTAGCTTATGCGTACATATATACGAACAGCATATATATGTATATGTAAAGTATGGAAAGCATACATTTTGTTTGCCCCGAATTAAGAGAACTTTAGATAATTATTTAGTTTTCATTGGATACATTGTGGGATATGTTATTATAACATTGCATCGTGTATGATATGGTAAAGATAGTATTTAAACAAAAAGAGAAAACTTTAATTAGATTCCGACGAATATGAAATATTTAACTCGCATCAGCTTGAGATACGTATTTCGCTGCCGTTTTCAGCAAACTCTATTCTCTTTCCTTTCTTTATTTCTATCTCGTATGCTTTAACGCACATTCGAAGCAACAATATATTAATATTTTATTAAATAAGACAAAAATATATTAATGATAATTAATAAATAAGCAACTTTTAAATTTGCATTTTTTCTGCAAATAGTACGTAGATGAACGGAATACATTCTATTCATTTAATTAATAAGTATCGATCTTTTTTTTAAAAGCAAAAGAAAATACTAAAAAAATAAAAGAAGGAAACACGTGATTGAGGAAGTAAAATATTTTTAATTTTTGCGTATAACATTTCTTTAAATAACATTTAAATAAAAATTGCTTTAAAAATAATCATTCACTATTCAAGGACATGTGATTGAAATTTTTATACCCTTCTAACGCTGCTGCAGCTTTGTCCTGCAACGCTGTTTTCACAGAATTCCGCGATAAATTTTGGAATTCGCGAGATATTCTTTGAAATATAACCGTAAATTTACAACGTTGTGCCTCGCATGCTTGGCAGTTGCCAGAAAATGGAGGTTAATGGTCAGACGCGGTAAAGTTGACGGATGTATACCTAGTTTCGCGAAAACACGAAAGAAAGAAAGACCGGAACAATCCATATCTCAATCGCTCGGACACGAAACGTAGCGTGAGTTAGTGAATGGGAAAGACGTTATCTGCAACACACTAGTTGCTTCTTCTATCTCGTATCCGGCCACAAAAAGTACCGAGAAGAAACGAACATTGTTTTATAAAGTCAGTAAAATTAAAAACCTACGAAAGCGAACTGATGTTTACGTAAATTCGTATATATGTACGTAAATTCAACATCACGTCGCAAAAAAGATTATAAAATTTCGAGGCAAATAATAATAACGCAAAATTGCAACAAAATTATTTGACGTAAAACGTAGTAATATTTATACATATTTTAACAAACATAATATTTTTTCGATGTATGTAATAGTTGTGACTTAAACGTTGCTTCTCGTTTTCGAAAGGCGTATTTTTCGCGCAATAATTACCTCAATAAAACTGCATGCGCGGAGGGCGTAACGCGATTAACGTTCAGGAACAAGTTCGATTGATGGCCGTGACGGGAATATCATGAATGCGAGAGGGGACTGACATTTTGGGGTTGCAAGATCGCTGAAACGCGAATAAATATCGTGGAAATTGGCAAAACGCATTCGTCAGCGCAAGCGCGCGCCGCAATTTTCATTCCTGGGTACAAATTATTGATCTTTCAGACGCTCAAAAAAATTTATATTCACGTTTTTAATTATCTTAACCGTATAAAAAATTTGCTTCTCGCGTTTGATCAATGAAAAATTCCCTCCTGTGTCTGCTCAACTTTTACAGATAATAATCGTTTGATACTGAATGTGCGGTCACGTTTCAGTTACGTGAAATTTAATAAAAAAAAAACATGTTTCACCGGAAAAATAATCAAACTTTATTTAATATAACAATATAACAAATTTTTACGTTTTTTCAATTCGTCACTGTAACAAGAGATTTCATCAATAAATATCACTGTTGCAACTTGATGCTTTAAGTAATTTAATTTGCATTAGTATTTCCTATAATCTCAATTGCTACACTGTTACTTTGTTTAAAATATTTAAGAAAAAACCATTTCGATTTTCGAAATGTTAATTTATGCCGCCTATTTATTTAACACCTGATGAAGTATCAGGCGTAATTATTAATAATCAGTAATTATAAATCTATTATTAACAATTAATTTGCAATTTATAAAGTATTAAAATGCAAATATAGAAATATTATTGATATATATATATATATATATATATATATATATATATACGAAGTTTATATATAGAGAGAATTCGAAAATATCACAAGTTGTCATTAACACATTCGCCGGATCTATCAATATTGCAACACTTGCAATTTCCGTCATAATTCACCGAAAACACAGCAACGTATTTTTGAAGAGATAGTGAGCTAAGAAAAAAAGAAGAAAGACAGAAGAAAGGTGGGGAGGAAGAGAGAATCGACGAAGGAGCGAGAGGGAGAACAGACGATGAACAGACGCGGGCTCTCTATGATGTACGCTTATAGCACGGAGCGGACGCAAAATTAACCGCGGCTATTTCCGAGCGGCTTGTTCCTGCGCTTTTCTTTTTTATACCTTCGTGGAAATCGTTTCGTTTGCTTTTCGAGGCGGACGTATTCCATCGACTCGCGCGCGCACACACACTCGAGAGACGCGAGCGTCGTTGCTCCCTTTTTCCACGTGAAGTCACGGAGCACGTCGCGGTTGTAGCGGGTCTGGCTGTACAAAATGCTTTGCGCGCATGAAGTAAAATATGTATCCGAATGATGTAGTAGAGCCATAAAGCTACGAAGGACGCAAATGCAAATTGTAGAGACTTAGGAAATTGTTATAGAGACTAAGCAAATTGACAATTTCGCGTAAAGAAAACGTGCGTCAAGACCAACTTGAGGAATTCTGCAATTTATTTTCTTTGTTTGAGACTTGTACTTGCGCTAAGTTGATTACAATGTACATTAAATTATTCCTATACTGCTTTACAGTAATTACAAAATTAATTAAAATAGAAAGCAGGAATTGCGCTGTTTTACAACGTGTAAAACGTATTCTTTTTTTGTAATACATTAATTTAATTCAATGTTATTTTCGATGTCTTATTATTAACAAAAAGATTTACCAGATTTTTACTTAAATTAGATCAATTCTAAGCATAAGTAAGAAAAGAGACAAATAAGAAATTATATAATATAATGTCACACATCTTATTAAATAAGTTTTAATATAATATTATATATCGTAATCTTTCTAAGTAATTAATTGAAGCATAGAAAAGAAACATTCAATAAAAAAATGAAGGGTAGTCCAATTAAATTTACATTTGAGATTACTTGCATCCGTTCTCTCCGCTCCTTCGCGCAACGAGTCGTCTCTTGGCCTCGATCCCGTTTTGCAGCAAAATTATCGCGCGAAACTTGACATCAGCCTAAATTCTTTTTACTCACATCGAGCCGGTGAATTTTTAATTCAATTTCGGTTAATCTTAATTCACACGATATGGAGTGTCACTGGAATAGAATCGCGTACATACCTACAGAAATTTTGAGCCTGACTGTAGGCGGACTAAAACTATTTTTGTCTCTATTTTCTCTGCCATTTGTCGTTTTAATTATACCGTGCCCTTTTGCTTATTTCATTTTCAAAGAATGTGGATTTTTACCACGTCCAACTATTTTGATAAAAATGTCAGGCATATTATGCATTTAAAAACTCTTATGCTGTTATATAAGATTATACTACTCTATTTG